TTCCCTGAGTTATGAGAAGGGCAAGCAAGGGTGCTATCATCTCTGTAGACACCATGGGAGCAGAAGACAGGCCAAAAGGCAATACTACAAACTGAAAGTGATCATCTGCCACTGCAAAGACTAGAAATCACTGATGAGGTGTTTAAATGGGAACAAGAAGATAGGCTGTCAGGGTCCTGTCCACGGCAGAAGTTCTGGAAGATCTGGCATTTCTGCCAGTACTCTACATGGCCGCAGAAGAACACATCAGCCTCAGTCTGGTGGCAGATGGCCTTTATAAGGAGGCTCATCACTCCCTCAAATTGCTGGATGATCTCTAGCTCCCCGTGCCCTGTTCCTGTGATTCTGACTTGTGATCTTCTGGTACCGACTCGGCTTGCTCCTGGACCTCTCTCGCTCCTCTGTGTATGACCTCGGCTATCCCATCTGAGTACGTCTGCTCTGATTCCCACCTGGTACCTGACCTTGGCTTGAACCGACTACCCAGTAAACATCCAAATCCCAAAAGGGCTTGCATACTACGCACAGGCGCCTCCTGTCTGCAGACCTATCTCCATTCACCAGCTGTGCTTCTGCGTGGACCACCAACCAGCACTCCTACAGGCGACCTGTGCAACTTTGGGCCTGACTCCCGCTGTCCCACTCTCAGGGGAGTCCGGAACTTAGCCGCAAGGGAAGCCCTTTCTCCATTGGCCTCCATCACCAGGTACCTGATATAGGCATCTTAGGTGTCCATGGATGTCATATGTTCCCCTTGCCTCAGAAGGGCAATTGCTAACCTTTCAGATTCCATACGAAATTTTGGAATGTGAAGGAATTTGTTGAGGGACTTTAGGCCAAGGATAAGAAGATACTTCCATTGAGCCCTCGTACCATGAACAGGTATGAGTAGAAACTTCTGAACCTATCTTGTGGCCGTACTGGTATGACGACTCCCCGGGACAGGTGGTGGTTTAGGGCCTTTCTCAAATCTGACTGCCCAGTTTTTGGCTGATTTTCAAGAATGGTAGCGTTTTGTACCCTTTTGAAACCAACAATTGAACCCAGAGGTCTGTGATGTCTGTAACCCAGAGAAGCAAACTGAAACAGATGTCCCCACTACTTTTAAGAGTGAGGGTGCCCCTTCATTTTGAAGGCTTGGTGGCCTTTGTGAGCCAAGCCTTGTGCCAAAAGGAAGGGCTAAACTTAGGTTTTGACGTTGAAGACCTGGTAGAAGTTGCTCTGCATTTTGAGGAGCTCCTGGGGAGGAAGGTTTTGTCCCGTTTCTTTTTTAGGAAGCATAACTTTCCCACCTGTGAACCCATTTTATTATTTGGTCTGGTAGCTTACTGAACAGGCATCTGTATGAGGCACCTTTTGCAGGCAAGTTCTGCAATCCAACCTTTAGCGAAAGGATTCTGAACATATGAATGGAACTAAAAGCCGTTCTGGAGATTGCCGTATGACGTGTTCCAGGGCATCCACGTAGAAATGCAGAGCAGAGGGCAGTGGTTGTATTTGTTCTGCCATCACACAATCCACAAGCAGGTTCCTGTTGGTTATTTATTGTCCTAATCTAGATAACTGCAGCTTAACATACAGAAACAGCAGCAAGAGATGGTTGTAGGACCGGGCCCGCTACATTAACCCTTCGCCTACCGGGTGCTTCTACCCCCTTCCTGCCCAGACCAATTTTCAGCTTTCAGCACTCTCATACTTTGAATGACAATTGCGCGGTCATGCAATGCTGCACCCTAACGAAAGTTTTTTATAATTTTTTTGAGACAAATAGAGCTTTGTTTTGGTGGTATTTAATCACCAATGGGGGATCTTTATTTTTTGCTAAACTGAAAAAACACCAAAAAGTTTGTAAAAAAAAAAGTTTTTCTTAAGTTTCTGTTATAAAGTTTTGTAAATAAGTAATTTGTCTCCTTTGCTGATGGGCACTGATGAGGAGTCACTGATGGGCACTGTTAGGCAGCACTGATAGGTGACACGGATGGGCACTGTTAGGTAGCACTGCTGGTGGCACTGATGGGCATTGATAGGGGGCACTGATAGCGGCGGCAGTGATAGGTAGCACTGATGGGCAACACTGATAGGCGGCACTGATGGGCATTGATAGGAAGCACTGATAGGTAGCACTGATGGGCCTTGTTAGGCAGCACTGATAAGTGACACTGATGGGCACTGTTAGGTGGCACTGATGGGCATTGATAGGTGGCACTGAATGGCACTGTTAGGCAACATTGATGGGCACTGTTAGGTGGCATGATGGGCATTGATAGGCGGCACTGATGGACACTGATAGGTAGCACTAATGGGCACTGTTAGGCAGCACTGGTAGGTGGCACTGATATGCACTGTTAGGCAGCACTGATGGGCATTGATAGGTGGCACTGATTCAACTGATGGGCACTGATTACCAGCAAAGATGGGCACTATTGACCGCACTGATGATCAGTGTAGCTATCCCCCTGCGAAATGTCGCTTACCAGCTCTCCTCTTCTCGTGAAGGAAAGTGCTGCGGATAACCGGCATTTCCTCTTTACCCGGTCATCAGCTGTGATTGGACACAGCTGGTCACATGGTAAAAGCAGCTGTGATCAGCCCGTTCCTTAGTCATGTGATCAGTTGGGACCGGAGGACACAGTGATCACAGATCGTGCGCAGTGCACGCTCCAGGAGGCAGACGGGGGGTGTGGTTCTGGGAGGACCATCTTTTGGCTACACCACAGTCGGGAACTGGTTACAGAGGATCTTCACCCTGCAAACAAAAATATTTGTATTTTACACTTTTTAACCACAGTGACTCTACAACTCCGGGACGGCAACTGGGATTTGTTTTTTTCATACTATGATTGCTTATTACGGTAACGATCACTGTAAAAAGCAATCATTTTAGCTGTCATGAATGGCTTTCACTCATGATTCGTTTACTATTTTGATTGCTGTTCTCGGCCACAGTGATGACATGGTACAGGGCCACTGTGATCGTCCCTGTACCATGTGATCACTGCGGCCAGTCACAAAGATCACAATAATAAGCAATGCGATAATGTATTATGACACTTGTTTACTAGTTGCATTGGTCACATCGATGACATGGTACAGGGCCACTGTGATCGTCCCTGTACCACGTGATCACTGCAGTCAATCACAATAATAAGCAATGCTATCATGAACGGATGACAGTTGTTTACTAGTAGCATTGATCACAGCGATCACATGGAACAGGGCCACTGTGATCGTTCCTGTACCATGTGATCACTGCGGCCAATCACAAAGATCACAATAATAAGCAATGCGATCATGAGTAGATGACAGTTGTTTACTAGCTGCATTGGTCACAGCAATGACATGGTTCAGGGCCACTGTGATCGTCCCTGTACCATGTGATCACTGTGGCCAATCACAAACATCACAATAATAAGCAATGTGATCATAAATGGATGACAGTTGTTTACTAGTAGCATTGGTCACAGCGATCACATGGTACAGGGCCACTGTGATCATCACTGTACCATGTGATCGCTGCGGCCAATCACAAAGATCACAATAATAAGCAATGCGATCATGAGTAGATGACAGTTGTTTACTAGCTGCATTGGTTATAGCGATCACATAGTACAGGGCCACTGTGATCGTATCATGTGATCACTGTGGCCAATCACAATAATAAGCAATGCTATCATGAACGGATGACAGTTGCTTACTAGTAGCATTGATCACAGCGCTCACATGGTACAGGGCCACTGTGATCATCCCTGTACCATGTGATCACTGCGGCGAATCACAAAGATCACAATAATAAGCAATGCGATCATGAATGGATGACAGTTGTTTACTAGCAGCATTAGTCGCAGCAATCACATGGTTCCTGGGCCAATCGCAGTGAACTGGTACCGAGTGCTCTGTGCACAGATCAAACCGCTGCATGCCGGCAGGAGGACGTACCCAGATGTCTTACAGGAACTAGAGAGCCCCCCCGCCTGGAAAATGAAAATAAGCAGGGTTAAGGGTTTAAGAGGGAGGGGCTAAGAGCATCTCAAATTCTCTGTCCGCAGAATCTTTAATATATGGAACATCTTCAAAAGGTGCAAGGAGATGATTGGATAGGATAGAGAGGGCAGGGTCAACCACAGGAATAGAGGACGTCACTGCAAACTCTTTATCCACTGAATAGTTCAGCAAATATGGGGGGCGGTGGGGGATCCGTTGTAGGAATGACCCAATCCTCATAGACGGCATATTCCACATATTCAATCTGTTCACAGACGGGGAATGTTCTTCGTGCCCAAAGGCTCATGATGAAATGGAGGAGAGCCAAGTGCCATCAATTCTGTCCGTATTCTCAGTAACACAGCAATGGCCTACGAGCAGCTCGATCCCGGGGCAACAGTGCGGCATTGATAGTGCAGTGTCACGCTATGGCCACTAGAAGGAGCCAGTGATCACAGGAAATAAAATACGACCAAGACTCGAAATAAACGGGCAAATGCCGGTCACATTCATTCAACCAATTTATTTAAAAAATAGATCCTCTAAGTGTCTGTGAAATCTCCCACCACATAATCCACTCAGCCAATGACAGGTGAGTACGCCATTTTTATTCTTCTCCTGCCATCAATGGCCAACCCGGTCCCACACTTCATCCACGTCTTTGGTGACCTCTGACCTCCTTATGAACTGTTTCTTCCATAATGAAGATCAGCCATGGAGTATATCTGAGGTGTATATCAGGGGGTGCTTCTTCCCCACATGAGAGCTGGGATGTCCAGCAACATTCATCTAGAAGACATTTCCAGCACTCAAGGCACTAATACACCTCCAGGGTTGTGTGGGACCCCAGGAAGACAGGACTTCAGTGAGGAACAATAGACTCAAGTGGCTTCTCCCCCATGTGAGATCTCTGATGGTTGTAAAGATTGCACTTCTGTGAAAAACATTTCCCACACTCTGGACAGGAAAATGGCTTCTCCCCCGTGTGAGATCTCTGATGTCTGGAAAGATCGGACTTCCCTGAAAAAACATTTCCCACACTCAGAACAGGAATACGGCTTCTCCCCTGTGTGAGATCTCTGATGGCTGTAAAGACTGGACTTCTGTGTAAAACATTTCCCACACTCAGGACAAGCATACGGCTTCTCCCCCGTGTGAGATCTCTGATGTCTGGAAAGATTGGACTTCCGTGAAAAACATCTCCCACACTCAGGACAGTTATACAGCTGCTCCCCCATGTGCAATCTCTGATGTGTGTAAAGATGGGACTGCTGTGAAAAACATTTCCCGCACTCAGGACAGGAATACAGCTGCTTTCCTGTGTGCAATCTCTGATGTGTGTAAAGACTGGATTTCTCTGAAAAACATTTACCACACTCAGGACAGGAATACGGCTTCTCACCCGTGTGAGATCTCTGATGTCTGTAAAGATGGGGCTTCTGAGAAAAACATTTCCCGCACTCAAGACAGAAATGTGGCTTCTCCCCTGTGTGAGAGCTCTGATGTCTGTAAAGCTGTGAATTCTGAGAAAAACATTTCCCGCACTCCAGACAGGAATACGGCTTTTTCCCCCGTGTGCAATCTCTGATGTGTGTAAAGATGGGACTTCCATGAAAAACATTTCCCGCACTCAAGACAGCAATACGGCTTCTCTCCCGTGTGAGATCTCTGATGTTTGTAAAGGCTGTACTTATCTGAAAAACATTTCCCGCACTCAGAACAACAATATGGCTTTTCTCCCGTGTGAGACCTTTGATGTACAACAAATTCTGATTTTGTTACAAAACATTTCCCGCACTCAGAACAGGAATACAGTCTTTCCCCTGTGTGCAATCTCCGATGTTTGTAAAGGCTGGACTTCCTTAAAAAACATTTTCCACACTCAGGACAGGGAAACCTCTTCTCTGTTGGAAGGCCGGCCCGGTCCCGCACAGTCTGAGGTTCCTCAGGATATGAGGAATCCGATGGTCCATCTACACTGGGTGGTGCCGGATGGACATTGGAGGGAGCCGGGTTTTCTCCTGGACTATACTGTGTGATGTCCTCATCTTCTACTTTCCAGTCTGGAGACAAAGTGAGACAATCCTCGGAGGTTTTCCTCATCTCCTGGCCATGGACTAAAATACAAAGACAAAGAGGATTACTAGACAGGAGCTGATTGGTTCCCCCAAACCAGAAAGACCGAGAGAGATCCAATGAGAACTTTATCATCTGGACCAATCAGTGAGCAGTATGGATGGAGGAATGGATTTAGTGTTCATGGCCCACCTGTGCTGATCTCTGTAGGAGTGTCCTCCTCTATAAATGTCCTCGTTATTAAATCCTCCTCCATAGACTGCTGATCATCCCTAACATACACCTCTTCTTCTTCTGATTTCACCTCAAATTCTATATCGATTGGATCTCCACTCTACATCAAAAGAAGGAGAGAAAATATCATCTGTAAGATAGAAGATTTATTATTGTGACATCACATAGAAAATCCGCACATCGTCTCCATGAGTCCATGTTCTAGATTCTCCGTTCCACCAACCTTGTAATAGTGAGGGATGGTGTGACCTTCCTGTGTGGAATCCCGGGAATACAGAGGACGGGGACATCTCTCTGGGGGGTTCCCATGACTGGATCCATCTACCTGATGATGGTGAGGGATGGTGTGACCTTCCTGTGTGGACTCCCAAGAATACAGAGGATGGGGACATCTCTCTGGTGGGTTCCTGGTATTAGGTGGCTCCATCATATCCTTGTGTCCTTCTGAAAACTCCTCCATCACTCCATACTCCTCATCCTCCTCTTTATACTCTTCTTTAACAACAATATTATAATCTCTGAAGTTTCTACTCTGAAAGATTTAATAAAACATTAATTGTAACAAACATGCTTTATATAAATCATAACTACCAATAATTGTTCCTCATCTACCTGATGGTGAGGGATGGTGTGACCTTCCTGTGTGGAATCCCGGGAATACAGAGGACGGGGACATCTCTCTGGTGGGTTCCTGTAGCTGGATGACTCCACCATGGTGTCCTGGTACAGATCTTTGAGTTCTCTTGGAAATTCTGACTTCTCCATCACCCCATCCTCATCCTCTTTTATCTCTTCTTTAATATCGACCTGTGTGGAATCCCGGGAATACAGAGGACGGGGACATCTCTCTGGTGGGTTCCCATGATTGGATCCATCTGTAGGAAACACACACACTGACTGAATCCATTGTTTCTATGTGTTTATCAGATGATGGGGGATCTAGGTGGATCCTCCGTACTGCTCTCTCCTTTCCAATAAAGTCTCCTCTTACCCGGTGATGTGAGGGGCGGCTGATTGTCCATCATGACGTCCTTGTAGAGGTCCTTGTGTCCTTCTAAATACTCCCACTCTAGAATCTTCTTCTTCTTTCTCTCTTCTATCAGGGAGGGAGGTGGAGGCAATGTGATGTCAGATTATCTCCAGACTTCACAGGAGGAAAACTCTAGATCTGAACACAAATAGTAAAATCAAACTAGAAAAGCTACAATTTCTGGGGAAATTGTAAGAAGTGTTCTTGCCTCCACCAGTAGTCTACAACTGGAGTGGGTGGAGTAACTGGGTGGAGTGGCTTGAGTAACTGTTTTGTGGTTGGAGTGCCTGGAGTAACTGTGAAAAGGTTGAACTGGGCAGAGTAACTTTATGGAGTGGGTTAAAAACTGATGCAACTCACTCTACAGCAAGGGCAGAGAAGAGCGGTTAAAAACAAACTGCTCCAACTTGCTCACTTCACTGGCGGTTGCCATCTTCAAACAGTTGTAGTTTAAAAATTATAAATACACCGAAGAGCTTTATATTGTGAGAATCACAAGACCCAGACCTACATTTTGATGCATAGTATGTCTCTGAAATATTAACAATGAAGGAACGGTCGCAGTTTAGAAATTGCCCTTCAAATTTGAGGTGGCTAGAGTGGAGTTTCAATGAATGTCAATGGGGGGGCGTGAGTTGCAAACAAATGGTCATATTGTGAAAACTATCAGGACTATGGCTTAGCCGTGGACATTTTTAGTGGCAGCAGGGATAGCTGAACGTTTTGATATAAGATTTGTGTAGGTGGGCTTGAAAATGAGTGATGGCAGTTTAGAAATCACGTCCTGATTTTTCAGCTCACACTCTAGCTTTTGTCAGCTCTTACTCTAGTTTTGAACATTTCGCCATTCATTCCTATGGGATCAATTTCACCACAAAAACGCCAATATTTTGTGAACCATTCGGCAAATCGTTCCACCAAGTAATAGCACACCAATCGGGAACAATCCGCGCGTTTCAGTATATTACTGTCTATGTAGTGTAAAAACTGTGGGAGGAGTTAGGGTGGTAAATTTGGCTATAATAATAAGAATATATATGTGAGATAACAGTAGGTGGTCTTGCCATGCAGGAACACTTAATGACATTCCCAGAATCCTCCTCACCTCTCTGGTCAGGTCTCCATGTTATTTAAAACAATGGATTTTCCGGGAACACTTACCAGCCGGCCTGTGAAATAACCAATATTGCCGGGTTTAACAGTTTATGTGAAAAACAGAAGGTTTGGTTGCACACATACATGCCTAAGCCGCAGTCCCGCATCAAGGGTTCTCTGTATACTGTGGCCCTAACTCTAAAATTTCCAAAGCCTCCATAGTAGGAGCACATAAATCAATGGATAGGTTAAGGGCGGGTGTGCCTGGAGGAGCCCATCCCTCCTTAAAGGTACAGGGACGCACGTGACGCCCAGCTATACAAAAATGACAGCCTGGAGAAATCTGACATTGGGAGGAAGAGCTGTGAGGTCAGTGTGATGTCATAGGATTCTCTGACTCTGGTTGGAGGGACATTGGGAGGAGGAGCTGTGAAGTCATAAGATTCTCTGACTCTGGTTGGAGGGACATTGGGAGGAGGAGCTGTGAAGTCATAAGATTCTCTGACTCTGGTTGGAGGACATTGGGAGGAGGAGCGCTCTGTGAGGTTCCTGTACACAGAATCATTCCTCCTGGGTGCGTCCCACCTCTCCTAGACTGGAAGGTGAATGTAGTGTTTGGGCTTTGCCAGGACACATGGTATTCCTGTGATCTCCGTGTACTCCGGAGACTTTACTCATCACATTTAGGAGGAATATCTGAGGCTGGTATCATGGTGGATCATTCGTTTTCAGGACATTTACTACAAATATTCACTAATAAAAGTGGTATAATTCACTAGTATAGAGTGAGGAGGTGAGAAGAGGACGGATGTGACGGTGGAGGAAGAGGATGGACATGATGGAGGGAGAGGACGGATGCGACGGTGGAGGGAGAGGACGGACGCGACGGTGGAGGGAGAGGACGGACGCGACGGTGGAGGGAGAGGACGGACGCGACGGTGGAGGGAGAGGACGGACGCGACGGTGGAGGGAGAGGACGGACGCGACGGTGGAGGGAGAGGACGGACGCGACGACAGAGGACAGACGTGACGGTGGAGGAAGAGGATAGACACGATGGAGGGAGAGGACGGATGTGACGAGGGAGAGAATGATGGGACAATGGAGGGAGAGGATGGACGCGACAGTGGAGGAAGAGGATGGACGGAACGATGGAGGAACAGGATGGACACAATGATGAAAAGGATGGACACGACGATGGAGGAAGAGGACGGACATAGGGTTGCACCTCATCCCTTTAAAACTGAACACATACTAATTACACGGGTTCTGTGGCTGATTAAGGTGGCAATTAAACTCACTTATCTGCATTAAATTAGCTTCAGAACCTGTTTAATTAGTATGTGTTCGGTTTTTTAAAGGGATGAGGTGGCCACCTTATGATGGACGTGACGGTGGAAGAAGTAGACAACACAACAGGGAGGGTTACTGGGTGTAAATAGAAAATGAGACCTTATTACCTCCTCTGCTGCCACTTTCAGCAATGTCTTCTCTCTCCTTTGTGCCACATGGAACTTCCTGCTTGTCCCTGACATCACTTCCTGCCTTCCATAGAGACTTCCTGTCTGGGTAGAAGTGAGATCACCACCTTGTGGAGCTCAGAGGAACTGCAGCCCCGAGAACCGTCTGGTAGTGTGACCCCGGCCTTATGCTGGGTGTGTATGGACTGTATGTCCTCATAGAGGGGTCACCTCCACTCCAACCAAGGGGGACAGATATATATGACTGCCTAGTCCAGTCCAGGGACCACT